ATACTATGTCACCATTGGATTTTTTTCTACTAGCACTTTTTGTAGTTATAGTAATAATCTATGAGATGCTATCCCGAAGCATTATAACAATGAAGACACTCAAAACAGTTTTTTCGGAAAATATACCTGTATATATAATTCTTGCGGACGTGTTCATATATTTGCGCATAAATCAATCTGGGAGAAATAATGATCTCGAGAGAAGAGTTCTATCACTAAATAATGATCTTCGAAAAATGCGCACTGAAAATGAATAGAGGAATGATGCAGTTTCTCAAGGTATGTAACTTATGATTGAATTTTATCGGGACCCATGATTCTAACTGTACTCTTTATCTATTCTCTACTAGCCGGTTCCAACTGATATTCTTCAACGAGCTATGCTTCTTCCGGATATTGTTCCATTTATAATGATGATCTCAAAATGTACTGGAACGAATTCGTAGCTATTTTCGATCAAAAAAGAAAAAGAGGTGGGAGGTCATCTACACAAATGTATAACATATTGTCACGCGACCATGATTTTTTTATCTATTACTATACTAACTTGAACTTTTGAACTATCCCATCTCATATAAAAAGTATTATCAAACATGCAATCTGAGATTGATTCATTGAAAAAAATAAATTCGAAACTCTTGGCCGAGATTAGTGAACTTAGAAAGGAGAATGCCGAAATCAAGGCTGAGAATATCGAAGTTAAGGTTGAGAATGTGAAGTTAAAGCATGCTTTAGAAGAACATGAAGTCAGATTCACGAACCTAAAACAGAGAGATAAAGAAAAGACCAACCTTATTGCTAAATTAGATGATGATATCAGGAAAATCAAACAGGAACAAAATGTTAATATTTTGGCACAAAGCAATACATTCATACCAAAGTCTCCAATTCATTCAATAAGTTCACAATCATCTATTTCGCCAAATATTGAGGGGATTTCAAAGCAATCAAATTACTCTGGTCATTCTATTGAAAAGAATAATGCTGACCCTATATCTCAGGATTTCAATTCAATACCTTTAGATCAAACTAATATATCTTCCGTTGTAGACCAGTATGATACTACCGAATCTAAATCATTAGAGGATGATAGAGAGACAGATTCTTTCTTAGATGAGGTACATAGGAAGAAGGTTAGTAATGAGATAAGGGAGAGAAAACGGAAAATAAAACTTCAGCATGAATTAACTACCCAAGACTTATCCTCAATTACTTCTGTCTCATCCTGTCCACTCACTAGTTCGTGTTTAGAGAAAAATGTTGAGAAACTATGTTTGAAGAAGGGAGACAAACAGAACACTCTGTCACATCAAAAAATCCTCTATAGGGAAAAAGTGAAGCGAGGTTTAAGGCAGGAACTATCATCCTTTTGCAGTAAGGACAGCAATGGCAGGGTGTTTAACATTCAGATTCCCGAATTCTCCTTAGAAGCGATTCTAACAGGATCTAGTAAAATTACAGCACAAACCATAGTCGATCTATTTAATGTAGCAATGAAGGTCAGACATAAGGAGATACTATGCTGGTATTGTTACTATAAAAGCGTACGAAGATCGAATTAGAGATGTTAAATCTACGAATAAGATTGATGACCAATCGGCAAGAACATTGGTATACAGCGAAATCAAATCCCTTCTTCCAGACATTACTGACGTGAACTTGCGTAAAATCACTTTTAGAGCTAAAAAGGTTTATGTATTATTCGAGGGGATAGGAATAGATAAAATTCAAGTAGTTACTTATAGCGCAAGTGCTATTTCAAATTTGATAGAAATTCAGATCCAAGGCATTATAAGTTGTTTTCCCAAGATTTATAAGTCTTCTACGGATGATACAGATGAATGCCAAAAAATGATCAGCGTGACAAATCATCACACGCACGTGACTGAATCTTCTGAGGTAAGCGCATCAATGATTTCATCAGTCACACCTCAAGCAAGTAGGACTCATGACCGATCATATTTTCACAACAAGACATTGGATCAATATCCTAATTTATATAGAGAATTTAGCAGTGAAAATTTTGATTATTATAGCATTACTGATGAGACACCATGTGGTCCCAAAAAGACCTGCCCATTATGCAGTTTAGATTATGATGATGAGGAAGGTATAGAAGGTATATATAAATCTGGATCTTACTTTATTAAATGTGAACAGCGTGAAATTGAGATAACTGCATAGTCTCATTACTCCTTTCTTATATCATAGATACTTCGAAAGATGATCTAATTATTTTTTGGAAATATGATAAGAAATATTAGACAGCTTTCTATCCGGGAATTTAAATTGATCTGTAATCATAGAAAAAAGGAAACATGAGCAAATCCGATAAAGTATTAACCCCCGAATATCTGGATTGGCATGCCAAATTAAGTGGGTTACCAAGCGTTTTGACAGATAAGATTTATACCAATTTATACAAAAGATATAAAAAAGAAACTGGAAATGAGCCATGGCAATTATCGGAAGCTGTGATAGATATGTCAGCAGAACCAGTCCCTTGCCTTGAGCGCCTTCAGCTGGGATTATCTCAAGCCTCTGATTTCGAGCCTATCACCTTCGAAGCCAGACCCAATCCAGAATCAATTATCCAGTCAGTCTTAGAGCACTTCCCATACTTGAAATTCCGAAATAGTTTCAGAGGGATTGATAATTATAATTTTGCATCACCTCAGCCGTGGAGCTCACCATGTCCTATTTGTGACGGAAAACATGGGAATTATGGGTTACATGGCTCATGGTACTGTGGAAATGGGAATCAGCTCCCCTATGATCCTAAATTAACAAAGTTATTACCTCAAGATAAGTTGGAATATTGTCTTACCTGCAACACTTCAAGCAATAAACTCAAGTTCGCGATCGTAGTCACGTGATGGAATTGTTGTATAGTAAAAGATATTATTCCGCAGTATGAACAAAAGTATGTATTTTTTTATTTACAATCAATAAAGCTAAGGCACATTAAATGCAATATATTTATATGTCAATATCTAGTATGTGTTGAGAAGTAGGGGATTGTGTTTGTATGCTAATATTTCTCGATCAGTTTTTCATCCGGATCCAGACCTGAAAAATTTCGATAAATGCGCAGTATCATTAGGATAGATCACCATGTATTACGGGAAAAAGTCATTGTACCATATAATTTATTCTCGAAACTTCCCATATACTCAAGCTTTTTGCATGTATTAATAAAAAAAGTCCCCTTTGTTGATACTCCCTCCCTCTTTGATAGCATCATACATTTCTCTCGCTACCTCTGATTTAGTTTTGTATCTGAAAAATCAATAAAATTTCTCACACCTCGGACAAAAATTTTTTTTCGTACTAATCGTTGCAAAAGTGATCGGCGTTACAACTGTGACGCTCACGTGACTAATAAAGATAACTATAATGATTAATGAGGGACTGTTCTGCTGATCCTAGTAGATTACTTCCTTTTACGCTTTGTATTTGCCACGTAAAAAAATTTATTTATACAGGAGGCGCGATTTTTTCTTTTCATATTGGCAAGTTTGGCAGGTATGGCACTCCCAAATGACTATCTACAAACCACCTCGCCAATAAATTGGAATCTAGACGACTTCGCAAATTGGATCGCTACCAATCATTCTGACGACAAGAAAAAAATAATCTATTACATGAAAACCGGTCTCAAGAAATACAGCGAGAATGACTCGGACATAAATGTAATGAGGAAGGCAGACGATTTGCTCAATAGCTTAAAGGTGAGAATATGTATATTTGCTTCTGCGGCACATCCAAGGGACGATATGTCAGCCGGGTGTTGAACGATATGTTCGCCATTCAAAACGCTTCCTGTGGCACATCCAAGGGACGACATGTCAGCCGGGTGTTGAACGATATGTTCGCCACAGATTCCTATATTTAGCCTTTATTTGTGTTTATCTAGAGGATATGAACTAATACCTACCCATTCTATCCTTCTATATATTTTTCAATGAATACACTGAAAAGGAATGGAAAACCAACAAGATGAAGACTAATTATTTCCAGACATTAAAGGATAAGAAGAAAATAGCTGAGTTACAAAGTGAACAAGAAATGCGACTTGCTGATATTGAATGTTTGGCGGTAATTTATTTTCACCATTTCTTTATATAAAATCTTAAGGTTTTACTAATCAATAATCTTACAGGTCCGACAGATGCAAAATCACACAAATGCAGCAGTAACAATTCATCAAAAAATTGCTGAAAAATTTGTAGGAGTGACTCAGAAAATTTCTACAGAATACGTAGTGGAAAGAGATCGGGTTGAGAAAGCTGGCCTAGAACGGCCATGTACACCGGAGGATAAGGTTATATTTTTTCCATCATGTTTTTTAATGTATAGTCCACCTACTTACCTTTCAGATGTGCACAGATTAGAACTGTCACGTTCGGTGATAAGCCCTCCTCAGTTCCCAGACCCACGGAAGATGAAAATGAATCGGAAGAGGTAATGATCTTTTTATTATATGTACAGAGGATATTAGTTAAATTTTGGAAATTTCTGGCTTTAGGAATCTGAATCCGAGGAACCTGAATCCGAGGAATCTGATTATGAGGAATCGGATGCGATTTATGATGCTGTTGCTGAAACCCAGAACCACAACATGGATAAGAAGGAGAGAAAGGTGAGTCATAGAGTTCCATCATGTCATTTTTGAAAGGTGGTGGCGATTATATATGATAGTTTGGATACCAATATCATGATTGATAAAGTACTAAGACCTAATTTTTTTTTATGTAGAGTGTAATCAAGTTAAATTCTAACAATAGAAAAGAAATAGAGGAAGCGTATACAAAAATGAAAAAACGATGTATGTGGAGGTTGTCTTCAGGAAGATACGTAGAAGAAGAATTGTATAATCTTGGCAAATCATTTGAATACGAACAGTAAGTATCTCACCTGTTATGGCAATGTGACAACACAACATCTAACCCTTCTATATAGTACTGTCCATTCCTTCATTATGGACGTGGATGATAATGAAGTGAAAACTCATTTTTCTGAAGACGAATTGCATGAAATAAAAAGCGCATCCAGACCCGTTGTAACTCCTATCTCAGATGAAGTTGTCGATTACCTCGAACAGATAAATGAAAAGGTAATGGTAGATTTCCACTAACAAAAATTTATATGTGCATATGTTTGTTGCTGATTGATTACTTTTTCAGTCGAGTTTGAGAGAAGTGAGAGATTTCATTAACCAATGCGATGAACGATTAGGAAAGTCTTACGATCGGTCAAAAAACCACGATATTGATTATATTCGTTATTCTGTTTATTCCATGTAAGTTGAAATCTGTTATTGAAAAAAAAGTCATGAAAGCTCACATATATATTTTTTTATTACAGGGTGAGAGAACTAGAAAGTGGAAGTTTAAGACAGGAAAATCTCGAATCATGGTATAACTGCCATGTATGGACTCCGATCGTAGATCAAGGTTTTAGTGACATTAATGGAACTTCAGTAGTTAGGTAATGATTTTACTTTTTATTGTTGCATATATTAGCTTAGCTACGACATTAAAATTTCATTATTCTTTAAGAGGAGAAAGTACTAGTATAGCCACGTCAAACAGAAAGAACATTGGAAAAAAACCAAGTGATAGAAAAAAACTTGGTCGCCGTGGTGACTGGATTCTACGATCAGTAGGCAATAAAGACAATGATGAGTTCGGAGCCGGTGAGGCTGGAAGAAAGTTTATTGATGAATATGACACAAAAATTTTAACTGAATCTAAGTTAAAATTGCCGAAGATGCTCAAGGACATGATCGTCAAATTATTGAGTAGAGTCAATTGGAATATTGATAAAAGAAAACAAATACAGACCGTGGGAATAGTCCATTCTGGTGAATATTATAGATGTTCTCTTAACAACTTGATTTTATGACCTAATTGATTTTACGTTGAATAACATTTGTAGGGCTTTCCATGATGATATTATATCTGGATAATCCTTGTGGATATGTATGTAGATTAAATCGGGGCGAAATACTTGAAGTTCCGGATGATGAACGGTTTTTTTCTTCTGTATTATTGCTACTTGCTGCAGTCCTTAATTTGAAGGTATGATTTGTTATCACCATGAAAATTTTGTTATTTAGTTATTATTTCTTATAAGTCCTTATATGATTTATTAGTCATGTGTTCGTGAAACAATAAAAGCTGTTCAAAACAAAGAAATCAATAAATCATCATTCAAAAAGGCAGGTTTTTTAAAGCGATCTCATGACGATGCAATTGAGATTACTCATTGCACAAGCACACCTAAAAAACCAAAAAGTAGTAGAAATTAATGGAATAGAATTCCCTTTTTTATTGCTGTAAAAATAACTCAATCATTCGTGCAATTATTTTTATTCTGTCATATATCTGTAAATAATAAAATTTTTACATAAAAATTTTTTGTGATCTGCGTGACAAATTGTCACGCGCACGTGATTTTCATTGATGATTTTTTTTCAGATGTGCCAAATAGGTTATTATATACTGCTTTCTGGAACATAAACGAAGTTAGTGGATGAAACCAATTATGTCATTTATGCCATTTTCGAGTAGAAGTTTGATAATGTACAGTGCCACATGATTGATTCATTCTTTTGCACAGTTTTAACAAGCTTGTCCAGACTCTACCATCAAAAAAATAATCTAGTCATATGCACAGTGCCTTCAGAAGATAAATTTAACCTGATACTGTCCATCAGAAAAAATATAAGTTTCGGGAGATAAATTTAACCAGATGCTGATCCTGGTTCTGCCCAATTTTTGATGAGCTCAGATAGACTCTACCATCAGAAAAATAATATTTTTTTGATGTGCATTTTATTTGTAATTATTTTCCCGAATTCCTGTTATGCTTATCTAGCTAAAGAAAAAAATCCGAAATCTGATTGGTCGATCATCTTGTGATATATAGAAACTCGTCAGTGCTCGGAACTCTTCTAGAACTATCGAGAAACTGTCGAGGAACTGCCAGGGGTGATACATGTGATATACTTCATGCCACAAACTGATTTAGCCAAGGCGCTATGCATATGCATGTAAATATAAAAATAGCTTAGTTGAGAGATATGTTTGTAATCGAATAAAAATGAATCTGATATTTTATTATCATATACTTGCTATAAACCACTATAAGTCATTAAAAATGGTAAAAACGCTATAAATCACTAAACTGTTATCCTATATCCGTAAATGGTTAAAACTAACTATCCCGGTTTAAATCCTATAGTAGTGCAGGCGTTAAACAATCTGCAATATAGATATAGCGGTGAAACACTAGAAATGTGGTGTTCTCGTGTTCGTTATCCATTCAAGAAACTTCTCGAATATAACCCAAAATACTTCTCCAAGAATG